ATGACATATTCATGAATACTTTTGTTTTAAATGGACACCTTTCAGCTAGTGAAGTGTTTTAACTTTCGAAATTTTTCCTTAGGGAATTAGTAGATTTATCTATTGATAGAATATAATAGATATTAATTATATCAGAATCGCATTATAAACCTGAACTGTTAGCTCTTGTCATCATGTTAGTTAAGTATCGAGCTCGCCAAGTCTAAAATTTTTCAGACTTAAATCTAAACGGTACTCTAATTTTCGTGATAATTAGAGATATGCAGAGTATGGTAGAGTAATGAAAAGAAAATTTTTCTCATTCAGCGTACCGAGAACGAAAAGAACTTATCCTAACGGGTGATCGAAAAGTTTTTGCACAAGATTGAAATTCACATTTCTCTTGTTCTACTCATATTTTGTTTCATTTGATCTAATTTATTTGCTTGTTCTAATTCTGTATTAATTTTAATTTTCATATCTAAATCTTTTTGTAATTGTTCTTGTGTTATTTTCATTTGTTGTTGTTGTTTTAATAAAACTGCAACAAGTTCATCATCATGTTTACTTTTATCTAATGATGTTTTTAATTGTTCACGTAATGTTTTTATTTCATTAGATAATATTGTATTACGAGTTTTTGATTGTTCTAATTTATCTTTTAATGTTTGTTGTTCATTACGTATTGTTTGAATTTCTTGTTTTTGTTGTTCAAATAAATCTTTACGTTCACGTTCAATACGACGTATATCATCACGATGACGTTGTTGAGCAATAGACATTGTTTCATCATATCTTGTAGCTAAATTATTACCATCCCAATCATCATTCAAACCATTAGATGAATTCATTGTTGTTCGAACTTTCAGTTCATTGAACTAAATTCAACGATTATGTTTTAAAGAAATTTGTTTAAATACAAAAAAACAAAATACTTTTTCTTGTAAGGCGATGATTTGTTGTTGACGACCACGCCAATTACTTGTACCATTTAATATTGCTTGAATATTTACTGTGTCACCAACTTCTTTTTCCAAAGCCTAATCAAGAGATAATGAAATTTTTAATTTTATAATCAAAAAAGACTTAGAAGTGTCTTTCTTATGATTATACAGTACTGGACAAAAATATAAGAACACTTTATTTTTGATTTTTTTCTACGATGCTAAATAGCTAGCTCAAATCCAAATAGTGATTCTGAAAGCCAATGAAGTTTCCA